TTTGAAGAAACTACATTACTAATGCTGTTTCGATTGAATCCGTTCAACTTATAACTCATCAATTGTTTCAAATATTCAGCCATAAAATTCAAGAAATTTAGGAGCATTTTCATGTCTTCGTGCTGTTTTTCGGCTCAAACGTGATGTTGGTTTTCACATAGCTCAAACGTACATTCCAACTTCATTAGCGCTGATGTTTTCATGGGTAAGTAAACTTTCAGAAGTCGTACCAGCGATAAGCTCCTCTATAACCTCAATTATGTAATCATTAGCTAACCTTATGCACAAACAAAGTATAGCGGGTGATAAGTCTGGGTAAAAGACAATCAATCATAGTTTAAAACCTGATCATAAGGTTCTGCACATTTGTACAACAAAGTCGAATTGAAGAAGAACAGGAGATTGTCTTCAAAAAATAAGAAAACCTACATATCTTGTATATCCGAAGGTTGGCGTCTGGTTACCGGAGGAATTTATGGAAGGACGAATTGGAGTAGCTATTACGGTATTGCTTACGCTTTCGACAGAGTCGGCAGGAGCAAGAGAGCATCTGCCTAGTGTCTCCTATTTAAAGGTGATTGTGATTTTTTCACTTGTGCTTCTTCTCGAGTTTTGGGAAAACGTAGGGCATCATTAATTCAGGCGATCGATCTCTGGTTTGGCTTTATAACAGGATTTGTCTTCTTCACTTTGCTGCAAACTCTCTTCGTCATTGGTTTCGATAAGCGCTCCAATCAACTTGTGAGTATCTCAGTGATGGCCAGAAGCTGAGAACTTTTTGAAAAGTGCAATTCTAGAAAAAATGGGCGCTGAAGGTGAAGTCTGATTTGACTGAGGATCAGCGTGACATGCTGCTGCAAAAAGCGCAAAAATATCACAAGACTGGCAGGTCAGCAACCTCTAAATTTCGATATCAATTGCTGCAATGCTTTTTTAGGTATTTGGATAACTTCTGCCGTGTCTTCTATCCACTAAGTTTCTTGTTATTTCTTATAATGTATTATTTTGTTTTTACTGAAGGACGACAAGACGATTGTATTAACAGACGCTAAATTTTATTGTGCGTTGTTTGCTTGTAATCTTAACAAACTTACTGTAATTTGCAAAGATCCCCTTAAATGTATGAGTTATTCTGTTTTTTATTTATTAATCCTCTACTCATAGACGACTTGAACGTTTCTTAGTTTCACTTGTTCCAATACACTTCAAACCATCTATGCATATGGAAGTGATTTAATAACTTTTATAAATAAAACAAGTATCTTTACAATAACAACAAGAAATACATCACATTAGGCATACTACGGTGTCTGAGTATGCTTTGAGGAATGTCGGGCATGTACACGCTTATTAATCCAAAACGCTATCATAACATTTTCTTACTCTGCCATTCTGCCATTATCGTTTACCATATCCTCCTGCTCTGGGCTGAGGTGCAGCGGCGGAACTCTCGGCTTGGTACTCATCAGTGTTTATTCTTGGCTGTGATCCAGGATTGATGAGAAGAATAGAGTCAACATTCTGGCAGACGCACACTCCTGGTTCTCCCGGTGGTCCCTGTCCCCCCATTGGGCCCTCTGGTCCCGGATAGCCGGGTTCACCCGGCTC